GTATCCCATAAACTACATATATATGTTAAAGCAGTGTTTTGTTTGTTTTCTTGTTTTAGACGGGGATCTTGCTATACAGTTCAAGCTGGCTTTCAACCTACTATGTAGCTTAGGTTGCCCTGGAACTCACAGCAATCCTCTTGCCTCAGTCTCCCAAGGCCTGGGATTATAAGCATGTCTCACCACACCTGGCTGTCACAGCAAATTTTTGGTACCCGTTGGAAGAGTCTTATTTAAAATCTCTTTTTTTGCTAATTCACATCAAAAGAAAATGAAAAAATGTTTTAAAAACATTTATAATTGAGTAGAGGGAAATGAGAGTTAAGAACAGGGTTAAAAGGACAGCAGAGAGGAAGAAAAATCATTTTTCTTGGTGCCAAGATAAAAAAGCATCACAAGCTTGTTTGCATTTGGTGCCCAATTTATAGTCCAGCAACCTGAGTGTACAAACTTAAGCCTTCATGGTTGAGTGCATCAATTGGTTTTTGAATTAGAGAGTAGCATTACTTAATTAATTCTGAGACTAGCCCTTCGAAGAAATATATTTTGTGATGGCACACAGCTCTAAAATGAGAATGTCAGCTGTGAAACTAAATTTAAAATTTCAGTTGTTTTTCTATCCGCTCTTCCTACACTTACTACAGATATGAATAGTATGAAGACAGGAAGCATTTAAATAAAAGTGTGTGTATTCTAGGTTTATTGGCAGGCCTTGTGGTTTTAATTACTTGGAGCTTGTCAAAATACAGGCTGACGCACACAAGTAAGGAGGTCTGCATGCTTCACTATAGAACTTCACCCTCAGCCAGGGGAGGTAAATGTTTACCCCTGTGGGGGCAGAAGGAGGGGCTGGGAAACTGTGGCCTATGCTTGTAGAGTGTCCACTCTGCTGTCCCTCAACCAGCAAGCTCACTTGAGTAAGAGTCCCAAGGTGACATTAGACAAAAGGAATCCACTCACTACAACAGAGCATGGAAATACAGCCATGTGTATGTTACATACACACACACCTCACGTTTCAGCAATGCTTCTTTGTAATTACCACCATATTACATTTGGCCTCTGTTGACACGTCCTTGGTCAACCTGGCAACTAAAAAGTTCTGCTCAGTGTTAAGCTCTGCTTTAAACATCAAGAGCCTATCTATCATCTGAGTTTAGAATATCAGCTCCACATACCAGGAGCACTTTAAATTTTAAGGGTGCTAATTTATTGATGATGCTAATATACCTCGGCCTATTTTTCCAAAATTAAAGATAAGTCACAAAAGATTTCACTATAATTATCAGTAGCTGAGCTGTAATGGACATTAACCAGATTTTAGGTGAGAGAGAGAAAGACAGAGACAGACAGAGACAGAGAGACAGAGGCAGAGGCAGAGAGACTGCAGACAGACAGAGAGAAAGTGAATTATGGTATGCTGAGTAACAGTATATGGTTTTGACCTTATACATCAAAATATCCACTTGAATATATTTTTCACTTGCCTATTTTCACCAGAGAACTTATAAGTTAAAATAAGCACACTTTGAAATATTATAATAAGTTAATAGCTGAGCATTTGTTATGGCCCACGTGCTAAAACACCTGCATGTCATAACTTATTTAATCCTAATAACTGAGATAGGTACTACTGCAAGATTTTTCTAACTAAAGAAACTGAGTAGTAACATGCCACAAGTTGCCAAGTTCAGTTAATAAAAGCTCTGGGCTTCTCTTTTATAGCAAATGGACAGTGCAGTCTTATGGACCCCACATACCAATTTGGTACTGAATATGGGGGGAAATTAGAGAGGACAAGTAAAATTTAAAGACTCTGAAACAACTGACACAAGCTCAAGTACAGCCAGAGACACTCGGTTTCTAGCAGTCCAAGGTCTTGAGCTAGACTCCTAGGCAGTTTGGAGAGGAATAAGATTAAGTCATGGGGCCATCATGGCCAGATGGGGAGCTAAGTAACAAGTCTGCAGTTTATTTCAGCAAGTGTAATTTCTTGCAGACTTAAAAAAGCAGAAGTTACTTGTAAGACTGATACAGTCTACACAATAGAAAGATGAATGTGTGGTACTAAGCAAAGGCAAGATACAACTAAATCAAAATGAATTCAAAGAAACATGAACGCAGTATTGCAACAGTCAATTTTCAAAACTGATAGATAAGAAATTGCCCGCAGTTATTTTTACTGAATTACGAGAAAAGGTTTCAGAGTTATTTCCCATGCATCAGTCAGAACCATGTTATTTTTTAGATGTGAGATGTGGTTGCAGGTCTCAAGGAAACAGTCCAGTGCTGGGATAGAAAAGCAGTGGCTGTCTGAGGCACATTGACTGTCATTCATTAACCTGCCAACAAGCAGGATCTTCTATATCTTTGGATAAATTTATACCTACAAACTTATTATTATATTCCATTGCAATAAAGAAAAAAAACAATGACTGTCTATAGACGGCATACAAAAAACTAATTGTTAAAGCCACCGTGTCTAATCTGGTCTTTTTCACCTAAACGAAAAGAAATGATCATGGTGGAATGCATACAACCAGGTAGATAGAGAAAGCAGTCTTAGGAAGATTCAGTTACGGAGTCAGGATTTTAGAGTTGGTGAGGGTCTTCGTGATAAGCTGTATATATGCAGAAGCTGTTCTTCACGCCCAGCCTGACCTTTGGCTTGTGGTGTGGGGCATCCCCCTTATGGAGAGTGCCTGGAGAGAGAGGACAAGAGAGGCCATGCAGAGTGCTGGAAACCCAAAATGCTGTGAGACAGCATGAGAAATGCAGCTCATGAAGTCATTTAAGGGCCACAGAGACAGAGACAGAAAGCCAAGAAAGGTGCTCTCATGGAAGCCTTGGGAGGAAGGTGTAGTGGTCAGCTTTTCCACTGCTGAGCAAAATATCTGAAAGCCACAGTTTAAAGGAGAGGCTGATTTTGGCTAATGGTTTCAGGGCATTCAGTCCATGATCCACTGGCTCCAAGGCAGAAATATGGTGGAAACATGTGACCGAGCAAAGGTGCTTAGATCACAGCAACTGGAAAGAAAAGCAGGGAAACAGTGGGGCTGGAGACCAGATATAATCCCCAAGGTCACACCTCCGTAATCCACCAAGGCATCGGCAGAAGTAGTTTTACTAACCCTCAGGCCAATCAAGCACACAGTCCACATTAACCATCACAGAAGGCAATCAGGAAGAAGAGTTGTGCTGAGCATCAAGAAGAGGCCTAAGAAGATCAGACCGGAAAGTGTCTTGGGCATTCATTGGTGGTGACCTCAGTAGCATGATTACAATGAAGAATGAATGTACCTTTTGCAAAGAATGAGAGATCTGGAAAAATTAAGAGAAGAAGGGCAGAGCCAATATTCAATTAGTTCAGGAAAGACAAGATGGCACAGTGCACAAAGATATACTTAAGGGAGAGAATGGAGGGGCTGACTGGGACAGCTTAGGGAAAAACAAAGGAAACTGGGCTCATAGCTCAGGCTGATGAGTCTGGCGGATAAGACAAGATAGATGGTGCCAGCTGCTCTGAGAGGAGGAAGTTAGGAAAGAGACGGATGGATATATAGAAAGATTACTGAGTGGGTCTTCTGGGGAGTTTTAAATTTTATGTTTAACTTTTTAATCATTTGGAGTTTATTTTAATAAATGATGTAAGGCCTTTTAAAAATCCTTTTCCCTTATTACTTATGCTAAGTATTGAATGAATGAATAGAGGCCAGGTCTAGGCCTAACCCTCCACTCACAGGGGCTCAGATGAGGCATTACGGGCAGCATCACCTCCTGCATTCCCTGCCCTTCACTTGCCACCCACTCTAAGTTTCCTCATTCTCCAGCTCCTTCTGCCAGCTGCAGGAAAGTGGTTCTCATGCCTCTAGAAAACAACCAGGAGATTAATGGGGAGGACTTTAACCTTCTTCAAGCTTGTGGAAGCTGGCAATGTCAACTTAGCACTGGCAGCTACTTAGTTTCTCTGCTTGGAAAGCAAGCAGCACATTGAAGAAAAGCGTGGTGGCTGGAAAGAGCACCTGAAAAATGAACAGAAAATACAGAAGAAGGCTGAGAATAGATGACTGCTGAAATCAAGCCAGGGAGGTGATTAAGAAAGAGACTCCTCACAGAATTAAAAGGTGCTTCTGTGTTGAAATTCATGTGGATTACCTGGCGTATTACTTCTGAACGAGTTTCCCTCTGCAAACGCTCACCACTAAATATCTGTTTGTTTACTTTGCCACAACCCAAAAGTTCTGAATGCAAAGCCATTTATGGTTGAGGGACCACGGCTTGTCATAGCATCTTAGCAACGTCTCCTTTAGCATGCTTTAATTATGAAATCTAAAATATTATTTACAAACTGGATGTTTGGTATATTTTTCACTTCTACCATTCCACGCTGAAACTTATAGGTGTGCAAACTTTTTCTCAGGTGTGTAATGGAAAAACTCTGAATTATTGGCGTTAGCCATAATTTGAAAATTTAAGTTCAACCCAGAGGCAATAGCAATAGCTGTCTTGAGAGTATACACTCCTGACTTTCAGAAGTTGTCTTCTGGTTTTAAAAGTATTGGACAATAATGCCATTCTGTTTCTGGTAAGGATATATTCATTCAACAAGAACTTGTTAAGCACTCAACATATGCTTGACATTGAACAGTTTATTTAGAATATCAAAATGATTGAGATATAGAACCAGCCACTCAGAATCTCATAAACTGAGATAATAATTAATATATTTTTTAAATTTCCACAATCTAACTTCTTTGGAGGTTGCCTCAGAATATCGAGACCATTACCTTGTGCAATATCAACAAAGCTACTCTATCAGGAATAAGCAAAAAGGATACATAACTGTTGGTTATGCAAAATGAAGTTCTCAAGAGAAAGAAATCTTAACTAAGGGAAAACAAATGGAATGAGAAATGCCAGCCACTCACCTGTCCAGTCCCAAGAGGCAGTAGCCCACACATACCGGCACACACTCTCCAACAGTGCAACAGAAATCTTACCTGATTTCCCCACGCCTGCTCTCCCAAATACTGCCAGTTTGACCTCCGCACTTTTAGCCATGGTGGGTGTTGGCAGAACTTACTGTTGTTAAAACTAAAAATCTGAGCAAATGTTTTTGTTCGCAGCCTTTGGAGTCACTGCATCATTGTGAATTTTGGAAGAATCCACAATCCTTAAACAAAAAAGATTTGGAAATTCATGACTAGCAAATAAAGAATTAATTTATATTAAAAATCTACTGTATGCCAACAAGAATTGACTTTATCTGCATTTTCTAATTTGATTTCCCACACAATCCTGTAGGAGGACCATAATAACTTACTGTAAACTACGAAATTAATGAAAGGAAGACCAAGACTTAAGAATTTAGGTGTTTGATACTAAATTATGTGCATGTTCACACAACATAATTTTCTAAAGTACTTCCTCAAGAAGCTTTTTATGAAGGCATTGTTTCTTGGCATTAATTGAAAATACTTGAAGTATGTAAATACATTCATTTACTACCTGTATGTAAACATACAAGTATACATGATGGGGAAAGTCACTTCTGGGCCTCTTTATTTCTTGTAGATTGAATAATGTAAGTTCATATTAATCAATTCTACTGCCATGTTATTCAGTTTTTTATTTCATGGTTAAACTGTATCCTAATCCACACTAGATCACATGATCAAGTTATGTAACAGATGGACACATTCTTGATACATAATTGATACAAATTGATACATAAGATCAAGATTATATTTGTCTATTTTTCATACACAATGCCCTAGTACAAAAAATGATAAATACCGTGCTTCAAGATCTGCTTCCTTTTTTTTTTATTATGACCTCACATAATAAGTTACTTTGCAATATTGTCCTAAACTTGAAACAAGACATTACATACAATGTAAACACATTTTGTGTTGGTGCTTTAGAAATGAAACCTAGGTCCTTAATAAGAAGGAAACTTTGGAAAGAGCCTTGGGAGGATTAACCAAAGGGATCCTCCAGCCATCTCAAGAGAATTTCCTTATGGCCAGAGGATAATCTCCTGCCTGATTTACTACTCCTAGCTGTAGGAGGTGGGTTTGTTACTCTGAACACTGTTTTCTTTCCAATTAGAAGAACTGTCTTTCTTCTGTTGAGCTCTGCTCTGTCTCCTTATGATTTCTGCTACTGTGTCCTGGGTTTTTTCAATGCAATAATTCAAAACAAGTCAATTACTTTTTCTCTCAGGACTCCTCATGTAATGTCACATCTATTATGACACTTCACCCTGCCCCACATTTCTACTGGCCAGCATGTAGGTTCTTTCTCCATAGGATAAACACCATGGGTTATTTTCCTTTGTGTTTTGACCCTCTCCAACTCCTCTCGTCATAGGTACCACTCTTCTCTAATGACCCTAAAAACCTGATGTCCACAACATTCACCACCTGATATAAGTGACCTAAGCAACCAACACAGCAGAAGCTCCCTGAGAGGCTTTCTGCATGCTGTGGTGGTTCTCTCTTTGAGAGGCAGCTCCTGTCTCTCACATGGACTGCGCACTCCTGCACTCTGAGCTCCTGTAATTGATGCTTGAAAGATAAATGCAAGACCGCTTTCACTGGTGTTAAACTTAATCATCTCAGTCCACAGGACTCACCCTCTTACGCAGTCTGTAATAATATTTCCCAAACGCAGATCTGCTATCTAAACATGTTAACTGTTCCTAGGAGCATTTCTTAATCTGCAGGTTTTTAAGAAAAGCTCAAGTGAGAAAAAGTGAAAATTCCTTCTCATGGTGTCCACAGAGACAGTACTATGCAAGTTTTCTTTATATGTTTAAGTCATCAACTCGCCACTAACAAACTTTGTATTTACTGGTTTCCAAAGTTCCAAAACTTCCTCTGAAGGAAGAAAAGGTCAACATCAACATTAGCAACTGTTTACTTCACCTCCCAATGAAAAATTTCTTAGTGATCATTAATAGTACCCAAAACCCCAAAGCGTAAACATTTGTAATATATTCAGTCCCATACTTTTGGCTTAAGATAAAAGGGTTTTTAAATTTTTCATTTTATATGCATTCATTAAGAAAAGCTTCCTATGTATATGTCTAGTCCTTCATTGTAGAAGCATAATACATTGAAATATATTAACTATATAAATTTTAATTGTATAAATTCTGGATGAACTGGGTGTGGCGGTGCACTCCTGTAATCCTAGCACTCTGGAGGCTGAGGCAGAAGATCACTGAGTTCAAGGCCAGGCTGAACTACACAGTGAGACCTTGTCTCAAAAAAACAAAACTAGGGCCAGGGGTTTAGCTCAACATCGTAAGTTCCTGCCTGGCAAGCGCAAGGTTGTGAGTTCAATCCCAGGTGCAAAAATAATAATAATTAATTAATTAATTAACAAAAGTAAAATAAATTGTAGATGAGAATGGTCGCTGGCTAGTATCCCTGAAGCAAAATATGCAAATGTTGGGAGCTCACATAAATAATGATTTACTATTTCATGCAAAATTGTTCATTCCTGTGTATTGAAAATCTGCATATTTTCTTGATAAATGCTGCATAAATGCAACCATCAAATGTAAAATTTAAAAACAAGTTGAATATCTCAGTAAATTCCCAAACTGCATTTCTTGGATGCACAGGAATTTCATATAGGACAGAGAAATTATATGTGTTATTTTTTCCTTTTAAAACTTACTAATGGAATATCTGGTTATTGTTAAACTTATATTAAGAAACATCGCTTAAAGAAAAACACCAAACTGACATAGATTCTTCAGAATTTTACTCCTCACACGGAAATGCAGAAAATTAAATTTGACAAGATAGAAAAAAAGATAAATGTGTAAACGATTACAATAAGTAACTTATGACCAAACTCCTGATGTTCAAAACAATTCATCACCTGGACCTTCCCTAAAATGGATACAAGAAAACACATTTGAACCAGTGTGCAGAAATACTCTGACTGACTGGAGGTTACCACTCATTTACTTTGTGGACAAAAACTATACAGACAAAAACTTCTTGTCCCCAGCACTCTTGAGAGTAAAGTTACATCTGAATATCTGGAAGAGTAAATGTGTAATGGATTATTTCCTAAAAATAAAGGAAGGAAAACAGAATGAAGAAAAATGCTCCGAATTTATTAATACATGTGTTCATTCCACAGATGCTAAGCACTGTATATACAAACAACTGACCATCTTCTAGGAGCTTAGACTGTTAGACCTATGACATTTAGATTACTAAAATCTTATTTATTTCTTTGTAAACAGTTTTCAATCCTCATAAATCATCCCAAGCTATACTTACTAAGGTTCCTCTTTTGACTTTCTGGGGAGTGGAGAGGATAAGAAAGCATCTTGATACTCTTTTTTTCCCCCTAGCTTCTGTTTTTGTATTCTCATCAAAATAAAGAGCAGCTGTTTGGAGAACCAAGGAACCTATCTGGTGGTGGCAATGAGATTCTCAATTTTTCTTTGGGTCAACCTTTCTCTGGTTCTGAAATCAAGTTTTTTCTGATTCCATGATGAGCTCGGAATTCTCCCTTATCACCACGCATCATGCCCCTAAGAGGGTAATTTTATAAACCCCTTGATATCCCGCCCGTGTAAAATCAACAGGTACCCTTGCAGCCAAACAACCCACAGCAGGCTGCAGGTCGCTGGCCTTCAAATTAGGGGGTCAACACAGCCTGGACCCAAAAGGCGAACCGGGAGAGCACTGGCAAAACTGGGCGCTGGCGTGCATCTCTCTCTCTCTCTCTCCCCACCCCCCCAACCCCCCTAGGGGCACCCAGCAACCCTCAAGACTGACCCCTCAGACCCCGAGTGCTCAAGGACGTGAGACCAATCTGCAGGGATTCGCCCCCAAAGAGCCACCTGGACACGTGCGTGACACTCACCTGTTCGCTCTCCAGGCTGGGGGACTGCGGTCCTGGGCAAGTTCGGAATGGGTCCCCCAGGATCGCAAAGCCCTACCCCGCCACCAGCCCCGGCTGCAGCTGGTGCTTCCGACTTGCCAGGCTGCGATCGCGGGCGGGAGCAGCAGCCGCAGCGAGCGCGGGGCCAGGGGCGGTCTCCTCCCGAGCGCTCGCTCGCACTAGGGCAGACAGACTGCGGCAGGGCGCGAGCTCTGCCCGGCCGAGGCCACCGCGCTGGCCGCCGGCGTGCTGCAGTGAGGCGCTTTGGCGCCCCCTACTGGGCCAGGCGCGGGCTCCTCCGGACCGCCAGCCCGAAGCACCAGCCCTTCACGCGCAGCACCCAAGTCTCGCTTCTCCCTTTCTCTTATTGCTCAGTTCCCAGCCTCAGGGCCCTGGCAGAAAACCGACTTTGCTTGATTAAAATCTTGCATATGAAAGCACCACTTCGTGTTGTTTTCTATTCCTCACTTCAAAGGATTCTCCTAATATTCCTTGGAAATGCATTTAATTATCCCCATGCTACCCAAAAGGAAACCAGAGATTTCAAAGAAAAAAAAAAAAAAAAAAAAAAAAAACCTAGTCCAAGGCTAGTACGTGGCTGGAAGGAAACTTAAGCTGTATTTCAAGCCGAGAGATGCCCAGAAAGACGTAAATCCTGAATTCAACTGAAACCCTTGTATGTGTATCTGAGAGAGTCCCCAAGGTTCATGCACCACTTACCAGCATGGATGAGATTTTCCTGGGAGGCTTGCACCCCGGTGCTCGCAGCCTCACAAAGGCATTTAACATGCGAGCTAGGCTAGACCTCTGCTACACCCCTGTCTCATCTGATGTCTACACCTCCTTGAGGACAACGTCAGTATTGTAATTGCTAGGCGAGAAAGTGAGTTTTAGGGAAATGATTTTTCAAAAACAGTGAAATATATGAGCAAAGGAACAAGAAATGTCTTTGGGGTTTTTTTTTGGGGGGGGGGCTAAATTTCAGATCTAGGTATTCTTACCCAGATACCCAGAGGCCTTCAGCATCAGCAGCCAGGGCCCCAAGGCTAAGGAACAATCAGCAGAAGGTCCTGTTGGGAGGCAGGTAACCATGGAGGCAGTGTCCCCGCTGGCGCTGCCTGGGAAAGTACCCTGGCTGCCAGTTGTGAGCCAGACTGAGTAAAGTAGTTGTTTGTGCTGGCAGGAGTAGGATTTGCTGAGGGTTTGCCTACGAAGTCATGCCCCCAACACACACCTGCATCACACTCTCCTTCGACGCCTCGCGGCCCCTGGGACTTCACGGCATTTCTCAGATTTCTCCACCATACCTGAAATTTCTAGAAGCTAGGAGTAGCTCATTTAGATCTCCGTATCCTCGGCAGCTACTTGAATGCCCGGCACAGAGTAGCTATTCAAAAAAATAGCTGTGGAATGAATTAAGAGACAGTACAAGTGATGTGGCGATACGATTGAATTGCTTACATGCTGAATTTGGGACAGTAAGAAATTAAATAGTGGGATCCGAAGTTCAAAAAAAAAAAAAAAGAATAGCAATTTTAGCATCTCAGTATACAAAAGCTTTTTGCAGCCTAAAATGGGAAAACAGTTATCCAGGTAGACTGTGTAACATTTTATAGAATTGCAAATTATATCAACTTTTGTGTCTCTGACATATTCAGATCTCCCATTTACCTTCCAACCCCATGAAATCTGGTATTCAGGGCAATATTTAATGAAATACCTATGCCTATATGGCATATATATACACACTGTATACTATTAATGAAGCTATCATATATCTGTGAATGCAGACATTAAAAAGTTTAAAAAGTGTGCATCTGTATATTCTGCAGTAAATATCTATATACAGACTATGCCTCAGGTTGGAATTCCCACTTTTTCATTTTTATCAAAGAGATATTCCTGAAGAGGCATCACTGGTTCCTGTGCAATAGGTCTCAGGGATCTTGTCTAAGGAGACTGTTTCTCTCTGTTTTCCTGGTTGGCCTATGTAACAGGAATTCCATCACTCTTCTCTCAGTGCAGGAGGTCTTGGTACCTGCAGCTGCAGTTCTTTAATTTTCTGGGCTAAGACAGAGTAGCTCTATGGAGGCTGACACCCATTGTATTATGACTTTCATGTGTATCCCCTGTCCCATGGGACTTGTCCTTTATCTCAAAAGCAACTAAAGGGAGCCCACCCCTTGTCTACCCTCACCCTGCATCAATAACAAGGACAAAGGACATTGATACTTCTGATTCCACTTGCGATGCCCATTGGACAGAATTCTTCTGGGAGAGGTTGTGTCACACTACCAGGATTCAGGTTTAAGATAAAACTTCTAACACTAAACTAGTAGATGAAGAACCAGCATGATTCCAAAGCATGTTAAAAACTAAAATTGTGAATGTGTGTGTTTGTGTGCATGAGTAGCTGTTAATCATATTCACTGCAAATAATTTTAACAGTAGAAGAAATGCAAAGAAGTAGAAAATTGCCTTCAAAATCACACTACCCAGAAATAACCACATTACTGTAAGAGGTGAACCTGCATTTCGAATATCACGGAACACAGACATATTAGTAAGTATATGCAGTGGAATACAGATATGCCAAGCACCAGCATATTGCAAATCCCATTTTAATTTAAAAAATATATTTAATTAAGCAGAACAGAGAAAAATCAAAGTGAATCTTAAAGGAAAAGGATGAACTTTAGATATTTACTTACCTTATGAGATATTTCATCCTAATGATTCCTCTAAAGTCAAAATTATTACTTAAAACCAGATCTGAATTCATTATGCTTAAACATATGTTTGCTTTATTCAATATCAAATGAATTCTTGCTATTTGAAAGAAAAGGAAATGAATTATCTTATTATACCCCTCATTTTCCTATCCATCTCTGTATTTTTACTGAAGTATTATTTGCTCATTGTCAAGATTTATAACATTTGCATTTACTGTTAGTGGTAACTGTTATTCCCAAGTAAATTTAGCTCTATATTTAAATGGAAGAAATTCATTTAATTAAATCTTTTGCTATGGTTCTTCTATTATGATTCTTTATTATGATTCATCTTTTGATTTCTTCATTAAGTAGCATTTCCAAGAAAGCCTTGCAGCTGGCCTGTTGCATAATTGAGAATACCTGTCTTTTCTTTTCTTGGTGGTTTTAATTTATTTTGCTATTAGCCCATTTTTGCTTATAATGACCCTTCTCTCCTTTTTTTTCCCTTGCATTGAATATTTTCATATTTATTATATTATTTCTTTTAAAGCAAGAAATCATCTTTAGTCTGATGCATAGGAGATGAATTCTACTTGGCTCTGGTCCTACTTTAGCTGAGCCCTGTGTGTTTTCTATATGAAGAAATGATTTGAATGTGAGCACTGCATTCTGCCTACTGTCCTGGGATAAGAAGATAAAAGCTAAAGGAGAGGTCATCTGAGTCTCTGTGCAGCCTGCTAGAGGTTTTGTGCTCTGCTCTTCCTCTGAGCCTGTACTAAAGACCCTGCCTAGTATTTAATGCAGACATTCAGCACCAGTTTTTGTAAGGAAGACCACAAAGAAAGACTTCTCTCAGTCTGAGTTTACTTTCTCCATTCAACCTTGGAGCCTTCTCCTCTTTTCTCCCTGGCTGTTTCCACTATAACCATTCTTTCCCTTCCTCCCATAGGAGAAAGATAATGATGGCTGCTGGGCTCGTCGTTCTTCAGATTTGGAGGTATTAACAGATGAGAGAGAATACTCAGGAAGCGATGACTCATCAGTACCGCTTCTGGAAAGCCAGGGCTCTCTGCACCATGATCTCCTGTTTCTAAACGTTTGTTTTGAAATTCCATAGCAAGAAATGATATCCCTTTTCTTATTTGTTGTCTTTGGGAAGGTATTTTATCGTCCTTGTTTATTTAGTTAGCTGTTAGCAAAGATAAGTTTTGTTTTAGCTGTGATTAGACTTTCCTGCTTACTGAGAACAACTATTTTTAAAAACAACCAAAATATACAAAATAGCTTTTTGGAAGAACTAGAAAACAGCCAAGGCTGGACAGCAAATCCTGATGAAATGATTGTACTTGAATTAGTCCCATATTCACCCAAATTTCCTCCATGTGGGTGACATAAGGGCCTTCGTCCATGAAAGCAGAGCCAACACAACAGTAAGAAATTATATTTAAGGACTAGGAAGGCAGCTGGGTCTGGAAGGAAAGTGAAGAGCAGACAGTCACAGAGAGACAACTCTGGAAATTTGCAAGGAAATGGTCCCAGGAGCTTGGATAATTTCTGGGCTGCATCTTGTGCGGGGAGCATCAGGACACCTAGAAAGACAGCAGCTGCCTGGAGTCAGATGGTGGTAGAGATCTCAGAGTGCCAGGAAAACATGAGCGTCTTAGCTCAGCTAGAGCTCAGAAAGTTCTGTGAACCACGTGGGTATTTGATCGTTAATTGCAGAATTGCTGCAAAAAGTGGCAAGAATGATAGGGTATATGTGTTCAAAGGTAGGAGTATTTGAGGGAGATTAAAGGTAGTGTGTCTTTTGCTACTTTTTTAAAGTTAGACACACACCATAATTTTTGATCAGCTCTTGTATGTGGCCACAAGGACAAGTTTCTAATTGAGCAGGTCTGTGAGCCATAATTCCTATATCAAATTTAGCTATTAGGAGTCTATCTCTATTTTAACTGTTTTTTCTAGATCACTGGTGATTAGATTTTATTAATGTAATTAGATTTCTTATTGAGTTATTATTGTTATTGCTTTTACAAATTTTCCCTTTTGAGATAAGATCTTTCTGTGCAATTCAGACTGGCCTGGAACTCACTATGGAGCCCAAACCAGCCTCGAACTCACAGTGATCCTCCTGCCTCAGCCTTCTACATGCTAGGATTACAGGTGTGTGCAGCATGACTGGGCTCAGTTCTTACTAATTCTTAAGCACACATTAGAACACTTTTAAAATGTCCTGTGTGCATGTATTTGTGTACATGTGTATAAGGATATTAGTGTATAAGAAAAAGAGAGAGTAAATTCAGTTCCATAACCACAGTAATTATATAAACACTGTAGCTATATAATCTATTAGAATCTTGAAAAAATTAATTCAAATGGAACTGTAGAAAGTTTTATTGGAGCATAAGGATCTCAAAGTTTCCACAATTCATAGCACTTGAAGTAATATATTAAAAATAAAATTTGGCCTACTAGAGGAGCAATGTGAAAAGTTGAATTTATTTTTATCAGAAAGTCTATGCACTTTTCTACTT